TACATTACAACACTAAACAAACAAAATTTTATTTACTTGAGAAGCAACGCAAGGGCAGTCTGGGCCGCCATTGGATCCTTAAAGAGGGTTCTAGACTTATAGATCCTTCAAGTACATCAGGCTCTCTGTTGAGTGGGCTCATGATGTTTGGCCCATGCAAATCAAATAAAGTTTGGATTTGATTGGAATTTTGATGGTCCTAGTCCCTTAAAATCTAGGGATTTTGTGGAGTAGGATCACCGGTCCAATGCTTTTAGTATATGGCCCAGGCCCGTAAAGACTTTTTGCTATCTTTTGTAATTATTACGGTTTGTAAATCCTACTTAAGCCTTCCTTTTTTTTTCTTTTTTTTTTTTATGGCTGTAAATCCTACTTGAGCTGCACTTTTGTTAACTTTCTCAGATTTTTTTTTTCTTTTTGCATGGTACATTATTAAAAATATTAATTTGTTATTATTAAATTAATTTTAATTAATATGTATAACACTTAAAAAAAAAAAAGTTTAGTCATTTTTCACCTGAAATTTGAAAAGATAAAACTGTCATTAATAAACTACCATAATTGACATGGTATGATAATAAGGCAATGTTGTTTTGCAGTTTATCTTGTACAATTTGTACTTCACTTTTCTATGATAATAAATTCTAATTCAAAGTGGCAATAAAATTGGGACAAACTCATATTTACACCTGACATATTATTTTTTCTCGCAATTAATGCTCTCAATAATTTTTACTTTTAATCAACACTCTTCATAATTTAAAACTCGTAAAAAACCTAAATATTAATGATCAAATCCCTATTTGCACTCTAACTTTGTTAATAATTTGGCTCTTTTTGTAGATTTCAAATTATGAAAAGTGTTGATCATAAGTAAAATTTTTACGAAGGGTGTTGATTGTAAAAAAATAATATGCAGAGTGCAAATAAGGGGTTTAGCCAATAAAATTACAAATTCAAACTAATTGTTTACAACCTCAAATAATATCATTTCATGGTAACAAGTTAATATATATGAACTTCAAACTTAACTCGTCTATGCTATCTACCTAATCCATCCCATCTAAATTAGTTGTCTCACACTATGACTTTTTGACTGAATTTTAGGTGAGTAGTACTTTTACATAACATACTAATGTTAACTTGAAAAAAACTTTTAACCTATACATATATATAGTTACGTGATATTTGAAGAAAATGTTCTAATTACTATTTATATGATACATAGACGTATAAACTAAAATCTAGTTAAAAAATCAAAATGGGACAACTCATTTAAGGTAGGAAGGCGCTATCTGTTTCTTGCATGGAAACTAGTTTTGTTTTGACCTTAAACACAGATCATTGAAGTATTGAACACTCCAAAGTACAATTAAATGAATCTCAACCAATGAAGTCAAATGTCATGAGAATAAGACTACGTCGGTATGAACCTAATCATCCCAACAATAATAATAATAATAATAATAATAAAGAAATTAATGTATATGGTTTTAACTTTTAAAAAAAATTAAAGTTTCAGTTTACATTTAACTAAAATTTTAATTTAAAATTTAAAAATCTGTTTTATTAAATATTAATATTTAAATTTAGAAGTCAATTATATATTTTAATATAATCAATTTTTAAATTTAAATATGAATATTTAATCGTATAGATTTTTTGAATTTTGAATTAAAATTTTTAATAAAATAAAATAAAATAATTTAATATTAAAATTTTAATTTATTTTAAAAAATGCACTTTTACCATAATAAAATTTCATTTGTCAAGTATTGAAATTGAGGGATAAATAGCATTGACCAGATTCTTCAATAGAAAACCACGCACATTTAAGTAAAAAAATTTTTAAAATGGTAATCTATCATGTCCTTAATTTTACAGGTAATAGAGGGGCTTGCTGCTGCATAAGTCAAGGTTTAGGAAGGTCCTATGTGGACCATCTCACATTGCTATCCATTTATTTTTTGAATCTTAATCCTCTTTTTTTTTTTTAATCTTAGTTGTACAGTATGTGATAATCATCTCTCATTCTTTATTCCACTTCACTCGCATATTATGCGATTTGAACTTAAGATTTCATAGTTTTAACGAGAGAAAATGATCACTAAATTACTTAAGTAGTTAACTTTTTTAATCTTAATCTCTACTTGCGTTGTGGTAGTGTTACTATTATTTACAAATATGACAAATCACAGCTAGCCTTCAAATTCGCTGGCTATAATAATAAAATAACCACTTTAACTTATAATTAATTCAATTATTTCAGTAAACAAATAAGGACTATCTTATAAATTAAATTAAAACTTAAGTCTTATTAAAATAATTTAATTTCTTTAAATAAGCTGCACTAACGTGAAAGTCTGCACTTTAAGATCCTTATATAAAAAAGGATTGCATAATATGCAATGTTACAGAGTTGGACCACTTGGCGTTAGTGGGCAGTTTGTAGTATTAATTAAATGAATAATTGGTGCCAGAGCTAGACCGCAAGACTCTTCCCCCATATGGGACATCCCCAGACCTCTTCTCCTTAGTCAATCAATAAAAAATAGCTTTTAAAAAATAATAATAATAAAATATTTTTTTAATTTACATCTTTATGATACATATTGGGAGTTCATAAAATATATATATTTTTCACATTAATTAATATTAAAATTGATAAAAATTTATATTAATTTTATTATTAATGTTATGTAGATAATTTTAATTAAATAATTGATTAAATAAAAATCAATTTTTATTTTTTTAATAACAATTAATTTCTAAAAAACACCATTAACGTATGCCCTAAGATAAAGTGCACTTTCTTTAATATTTTATGCAGATTGTTCGATTAACTGCTTTAGGATCTGATTTTTATTCTCTTTGTTTTATGAAGTACATTCTTATTTTATTTTGGTGTTGTGCCGACACATGCTTGCCCACGTTTAGTGCTGTTAAGTATCTTCTATATTGTTAATATCAACAAACTAAGTTGACATAACACCGAACTCCAAACGATGCATGCATTATTTACCTTTGTAGGTGATACTGACTTCACTGAATTGTGAGTTCTATGGGGGACCGAAGGGGTTCATGATTACTTTTTATTTATGAAAATTGCTAATACAAACGTATTAAATAATGTATTAAAAGTCATTGTTGTATTAATTTGGGGGTAATAACACGGACAGTCTAACAAAGTAACCTAATTAAGAATCTATCATTTATTAATGGAATACATGATACTAATGACATGTTGGTTCGAGTGGTGGAAAGAGTTCGATTCTTTTTAAATAAAATATTAAATTCAAGTCTTATAAATAAAAAAAATATACGTTAATAAAGCTTTCTTTTTATGGGTTTAACGCAACTTAACTTCAGATTAATTGAAATTTAATATGACTTTTAGATATCAAAAATTAGTATTAAGTAAAAAAAGAAGAAGAAGAGTACATGGTAACATGCACCTTATATATATACACATATGGCTTCTTTTCAAGGTAAGGCATTCATCATAAGATGAAATAATAAATTATAGAATCTTGTTCTGTCAAGTGTTTTTTTTTTTTTTTCTTCTGGTATTGTGTGGTATTTAATTGGAATTTTATTTTTTTGTTCAAGTGATAATAGGTTCATAATCACATGCAGGTTCAAACTTTTTAAGAACTAAAAGCGTTTTTTTTTAAAAAGGTTACTTTGATTCAGCTTCAACCTTTTATAATAAAAATTGTTTTTAAAAGTTTGTGATTAAGACATAAGTATTAGGTAAATTTAACTGAATTCATCCTTCTTGAATTAGTAGATTAAAAGTAATGATAATATTATAGTTACAATATGTAGAATTGTAAACTTATAATATAATGTGATATTAAATATATATAACATATTATTAAACAAGAAATGGATGTACATAATATTATGTATGAACTTTTAAATAAAAAAAATTAATTATATAATAATATATTATAAATTTACAATATCACGTACTATTTTAATTCTAACATTTTTATAAAATTAACTTAACCGTTTACAAAGAGAAACAGCAAGGTCAAATCAAAATCAAAATCTTAGTGGGTGAAATAAGAAACAATCAATAAAAAAGAAAAAGAATAATGATAAATTGGGACTACAATCTAGGACCAATAACGTGGCTTTCATCTCAAAATTTTGTCCTTCCTACCATTCTTAAAGGGGACTGGTTTGGGATAATTTTTTATATCATTTTTTTTGTATAATTTAATATATTATTTAAATAATTACTTCTTTTAATTTATATAAAATTCATGATATTAAATGTATCAATTTATTTAATGATATATGAAAATTGTATTAAAAAATAATATAAAAAAATTATTCATATAATATCATCTATTACTAAAATAAAAAAAAAAAAAAGGGAATTTAGTAAGTGTTGAAAAGGATCATTCCATGTGGAACACAATAGCTAGATTTTAGCCTTCCAAGTCGGTGCTTCATTCTAATTAGTCCAACTGCTGACTTCGTGCAAAAGAAAAGAAAAAACTGGGGGTACAAAGTGCAAAGAATTCAAGTTTCGTGGGGTTCTTCAACCTGTCGCTTTCTGTCAGCCCCGCGTTGTCCTCCGACTTTGGTTTGTGTGTGAGATTGGACCCCACTTTTATTAAATTCTTCTCCGACTTTTTTCACGTTATCTCCTTTCTAATTAAAGAATTCATTTCTTTTTCCTTTTCACATTGTTACCCTTGACTCTATAACCTAAACACCCTTCTTCCATTATTCCTAATACTTTCCTATTAGTAATTAAGTAATTTCCTCGAGCTTTTTTTTTATTATTATTTTACTTTTTTAAGCCTCAAAATTTAAAAGATATCTCAAATAGTTAAAAAATTTAAGACTTTATATTAAATATTTTAATTTTAAATTATTAAAATAGGTGAAGACTAAAGAGAAATTAAGAGAAATAAATGATTATTTTTTATTATATAACACAATAATATGATGTGTTAAAAAAATAATACTTTTTTAGTCAACCTATACAGAATAGGCACAATTATGAAACTTAACATTTTGGAGGAATAGCCATTCTTGAGTAAGATGGACATTTTTTGCGCTCATTCTATAATATAGTAGAAAATAATTAATGTTAAAGCTTGTATATTTCTAACTTATCAAGTGAGTTTTTTAATTTTCCTTATTTTTATATTTTTATCAAGAAAACTCATTCTTTGCCATCAAACACGACTATGATGTATTATTAGCTATTCTTATATTTTGTTTAACTAGTACGAAAAATTTTGATGCAAATAATAGATGTCCATTCTTAATATGTTATGTCCTCCCTCTAATTTACTCCCTTCTTTTTTTTAATAAAAAACAATGACTCTTCCAATCAAACATGACATAAAATGCTAGAGTAAAGTCATTTATGGCGCACTTGGCCCGTGTGGTCTAGTGATTAGAGCCACTGAGAAAAGTGCACATCCCTCTCCCTGGATGGGTTTTGAACCCGCCCCAGGACAAAACTGTTCAAAAAAAAAAAAAAAAAAAAAAAAAGTCAGTTATGGCTATTGGTGGCAGATCTCAAATTTCTGTGCAAATGAAGTTTAGTTTTGTATTCTCATTTTTGTAAATGGGGATTGGGTTTTTGATAAGGATGATGTGAGTGATGTACATATTGGTTGAAATTATTTTATACTGTAAATTAATAAAAAAATTTCACTTGGTTGATAAAAAAAATGCTAGAATAAAGGTTTTTAATAGAATAATTGCTTTCATATAATCATATATCTATTTTTAAGAGATTACAGTTTATTCATTTTATATTTTAAAAATTAAAAAATATTTTAAAATTATAT